TGGTAGTGTGTGTCTCTTGTGTAGTGTGAGTGTTACTGTGTCGTGCTGTGTGTTGTGGTGTGGTTACTGTGTGTGATGTTGTGTACGTTACATGGATCGTGTGTGTGTGATGTGTGATGTCGTTACTGTCGTGATGTCTCTTGGTGTCGTTGGTGTGCCGTCTCTGGCTGTGTGTGTGCTGTTCGTTTGTGTGTGTGTGTGTGTGTGTCTCTGTGTGTGATGTGGTGTGTGTAGTTCTTTTGTGTGTGTGTGTTACTGTCCCAGTGGTGTGTGTATGTTACCTGTGTGTGTTGCTTTTACTGGTTGTGTTGTGCTGTTCTGTTATACTGTCGTGTGTGTCGTGCGATGTGTGTTAACCCGTGTGTGGTGTGTGTGTGTGTAGTGTGTGTGTGTGTGTGGTGGTCGGGTCCGTGAACAGGTGCTCCTAACCTGGTGTCCCATGCAGGAGGCGCTGCAGTAAGTGGATGAGGCCTGATACCTGAGCCTTGCTGGGCTTCGTATGCTGCTGCCAGGCACTCAAACCCCGAACTGTACAGGAAGGGAGGTAAAACACACACAACACACACCACAACATACACACACAATCAAATAACTATGATTATAGTCTGCTCGCAGCTGTGATCATTATCAAACTGTTATTATTATTATTAAACACAGTGATTTAGTTAATCAAATAATAACATACAACGGACAGATTGTCTGGTATGTGGTTTATCAATTAACCTTTGTGTTGCTGTCTGTTATAACTACGTTAGACCAGCTGCCTGATTGGACATCCACTGTCAGGTTTCTACTGTTGATTGGTGACCTCTGACCCTGACCCCTCACTGCTCTTCAGGGCTCAGTGTGTTGTTGTGTGTGTGTGTGCTGGTGAAACTTCTGAGGTCGGGGGTGATACTGGGTCTGATGGACACTGCGATGTGTGCAGCACAGGATCTGGTCTGCAGTCGGTGGGAGGACCGGATGTGGACAGGAAGTGCCTGGGTAATCAATTTGTCACGACCCGGCTCTTAAGTCATGACAAATATAGGGAGTACACCACTTTAAGGACATACAAAAGCATATTTATTGAACAAATTTCAAAATTATGAAATGAACAACTCAACATACTTTCAATATAGTGTGAATTATCAGTGTTAGTCGTTGTGTAAGGTGTGCATGAGGGCGATAATGTGTGTGTATGTTGTACAGTGCTACAAAGTAAATTATAAGGGTGAGGCCACGCGCAGTCTTCACCCACTGGCAGCGTGCTGCCCAAAGAAAAAGAACACAAATTATTACAAACAAAACAAAATTAGACAACTCAACAATACGAACCGAGCAGCAGAGAGGCTAGAGGAAAAGTGGGGCACAGGGCATTGATTATACTAGCCTGGGGCCAGGCGCCGGTGTTGCATTTGCACCAATTAACCCAAGTCAACCCCATCCTGCTGGCCACAACAAAACACTCAGGACACAGGGGGCGGCCACCCCCCCCTTAAGACGAAGGTCCCAAAGGGATCACCGAATATCAAATGTAAAAAAACCCCCAAAAAACAACAAACATCCACCTCACGTTTTCCGATACCCACCTCTGCAACCAGGCACCTGAAAATCAGTTTAAGAGGGATACCACCATATTCATAAGGCGTTGGAATGTTGCAGGTGCATTCAGAGGCCAAAACTCATGACTGTATATTCGTACAGTCCGAAAGGTGTTACAAATGCAGAAATTTCACAAGCACGCGCTGTCAAAGGAACTTGCCAGTATCCTTTTAACCAATCAAATTCTCTAACAAATGTGGCTGAACCAACCTGGTCAATACAATCCTCTATTCGAGGTAAAGGATAGGAATCGGCCTTGGTGACTTTATTTAAAACAGACAGTTCTAAAAGTCTCAAACTGTTCCAAATGATTCCAAACTGTTCCAAATGATTCCAAACTGTTCCAAATGTTTCCAAACTGTTCCAAATGTTTCCAAATGTTTCCAAACTGTTCCAAATGTTTCCAAACTCTCAATTCAAATTCAGCTCTCCCAATTCAAATTCAGTTCTCCAAATTCAAACCCTGCGACTTCAACAGCGGACACTGTCCTTTCCAATGACCCACAACATGGCAGTAATTACAAGCCCTGGCACCATCGGCTCCTATGTAGGAGGATGTACTAGCATGCGATGGAACAGACTTCGGAAACTTGTTACCAGCGCGAGAATTGCCACCGTTATCTCCACTTTTCCATTCAACTCCAGAGCGCGCATCTGCAAAACTACCTTTATGCATTCATACAATGAA